CAAGTGACCATGGCTAAGGCATTTGGCAGCTCTTAGCTGGAACCAGCCCTCTCAGTAGTGGAACCAATCACCCACGTGGTATGATTTTAGGGGTGTGAAGATGTGCCCTCCCCACTTTGTAAACTCACTATTATTCATTTGCCTAGATGGTCCCTCTATTGAAAATATCTACCTTTCACCGCATCCAAATTTCCTTCCACCCTCAGGACCCACTGAATCTCTTATCCCTCATGAAGCTTTCCTACTACACGTCTCTATTCACTCCTCACTTGACCATTCGCTTACCTCCTTTCTCTGTTTTCCTGTGGGGGTTTTTCAATATAATTTTTTAATCTTTTATTTATTTGGTATAGGATGTTACTATGCAGCTCAGACTCTTAGTGATCCTCCTGCCTCATCCTCCCCAGCACTGGGATTACAGGCATATACCACCATGCTTGGTTTCAGTGGCTGGCACAGCACTCCCAAGGTTCTAGAGCTGGCATGGCATGCAATACCAGGGATGGAACCCGGGTCCTTGTGCTTGCCAGGCAGGTGCTTAGACTGCCAAGCTATCTCCCCAGCCCTTCCTGTAGTTTTTGTATCATTCTTTTTTTTTTTTTTTTTTTTTTTTGCGGAACTGGGGATTGAACTCATGCCCTTGCGCTTACCAGGGAAGCGCTTATTCCACTGAGCCATCTCCCCAGCCCCAATCATTCTTATTATTTAACATTCTCATTATCATCTTGGGGTGTGGCTCTGCGGTAGCAGTCTTGCCTATCATCTCCCCTCGTGGCAGGCCTTCAGTTCCTAAAGGCTATGATCATGTTACCTCTAAGCCACTGCTGCTGCTTTTTTCCTCCTCTTCCTCTTGTGTCTTCAGCTGTATCTCACAAGAACTTTCTGGACAGCTCACTGTCATCCGATCACACCTCCCTCCATCTTTCCCACTATGTTGTAGGTGAAGAAATCAGAAAATCACTGAGCAGAGTAGAATCATAGTCTCCTTGGGTCTGTACACCACATGTCTATAAATGGAGTCCAAAGCTTTTGTTTTGTTTCATTTTGCCTGCCGCACTCGGGACCAAACCCTCCACCTCATGCGTGCTAGGCAAGTGCTCTGCTGCTGAACTACACTCCCAGCCCTGAAGCACACACTTGTATTAACATTTAGGCCGCCATATTATATTCAGTTAATGCCACTGACTTCACACCCACCTCCCACATTTTTTCTTTCCAATTTGTTTTTTTTTTTTTTTTTT